TCAAAGAATTTTCTCAAGTTCCGAACATGGTCATCCTGAGTTTTGGATTTGATGATTACATCGTCCACGTATACCTCTATCTCTTGGTGCATCATATCATGAAAAATGGCAGTCATGACCCTCATGTAGGTTGCCCCGACGTTCTTCAGACCAAATGGCATGCCTCTGTAACAGTTTGTACCCCAAGGTGTGGTAAAAGCTATCTTTTCTACATCTTCTTCATCTATCAACACCTGGTGATATCCTGCGTAACAATCCACGAAGGACTGTATCTCATGTTTGGCGCAATTATCAACAAGTATATGGATGTTAGGCAAAGGGAAGTTATCTTTAGGACTTGCCTTGTTTAAATCTCTGTAATCCATACAAACCCGGGTCTTCCCGTCTTTCTTTGGCACTGGAACTACATTAGCTAGCCATGTGGTATATCGAACTACTGGGATCACCCCCGTTTTTAGCTGTTTCGTGACTTCTTCTTTGATATTGTCACTAATGTCAGTTTTAAACTTTCTTTGCTTTTGCTGGACAATGGGGTAGTCGGGGTAAGTCGGCAACTTATGAACCACCAAATCAACACTTAGTCCTGGCATGTCGTCATATGACCAAGAAAACACATCTTTGAACTCAAATAGGAGTTGGATTAATGCGTCCCGGGTTTTTCCATCTGTGTGAATGCTTATCTTGGTTTCCCTGATTTCTTCAGAACTGCCCAAATTAACTAGCTCGGTATCATTTAAGTTCGGCTTAGGTTTATTCTCAAATTGCTCCAACTCTCGATTTATTTCCCTAAAAGCCACTTCTTCATCGTATTTCAGTTCTTGGTTCATTATTTCACAGTTAGACAACGTGTTTGGATCTGGGCATGAAGTCCGCAAGCATGTCATGTTATTTAAAGCCACATTATTAGAACTGAAAGAATAAATAAAAGAGAAAAATAACTGAATCAGAAAGAATAAAGAAAGATGAACGATGAAATATTGATTTCATTTCATTGAATTTGAAGATAACAGGGTTTACATTGGAAATTAAAAGACAAGAAACTAAAGAAAACATCCGAGTTACACCCTGGAATAACTCATGATGAAGAAAAATTGGCAGGACAGGTCTACCGGGATTCCTGCCTGATTGGGAATGGCGTGACCTCCAATTCTGCAGTTTGGCATTAGGTCCCATAGACAGCACCTCAGCGGTGCTTGAGCCTTCCCCTGGTTGAACCATGTGGGCTTCATACAGTATCTTCCTCATAGCCCCACAGATTGCTTCGATTTTTTCGGCTGTAAAGGCCTTATCTTCCTCTTCCTCATTGTATTTCGTCTTGATAAATGTGCTGTATAGATGCAACACCGGCTGAGGCAAGACCCAACCATTATTCTTTCTATCATCTTCCCATTTTACATCAGCTGGAGTAGGTCGGAAGCCTACCCCAAAGAACTTTTCACTGGCGGTCAGGGTGATAGGTTCAGCTATTCCTTGCAATGATTTCCCAAGCCCTTTCCCAGGTTTGTAGCCATGCCTAATCATTCCTTTGGCCACCATGATTGATGCATTAGAAAGGAAGGGTTGAGGGAAAGGTTTTCCTTCTTCACACTGATCAGTGACCACGATTTCAAAGGCTTGTTAGACTATGTGCTCGCTCCGTTGTCTTGCTTCAAGACACGGGACTGATGGTCCCGATAAATTGATTGTTCATCTTCCCCCTGGACCACAATCTCTTGATCCTCGTGCTCGAACTTCACCATCTGGTGAAGAGTAGAGGGTACAGCCCCCGCTGCATGGATCCAGGGCCTCCCCAAAAGAAAGTTGTAGGATGTGTCCATGTCCAGAACCTAGAAGGTTATTTCAAAGTTTACTGGGCCGATGGTCAGAATCAGATCAATCTCTCCAATCGTGTCCCTTTTGATACCATCGAAGGCACGTACACAGACGTTGTTGGGTCGGATTCTTTTGGTACCGATTTCCATACGCTGTAGAGTTAAGAGCAGGCAAATGTCTAACTCAGAGCCTCCGTCCAACATAACCCTTTTCACGTAGTACCCTTCGCATTTGACTGTCAGGTGCAGGGCTTTGTTATGTGCGGCTCTTTCTGGGGGCAAGTCATTTTTGCTGAAGGAGATCTAGTTGATTGCGAAAATCTTTCGGCTATTCTCTCCAACTGCTCTACAGAAGTCTTTCGAAAGAAGGCCTCCACTTCTTCGGCACTCACGGGCTTCTTAGATGGGAAGCGCTTTCTAGTGGCATTGTTCACCTCTTCCAAATAGAAATACTTTTCAGCTGGGTTATTTTCTTGAACTTCTCCCCATATTTCTTTGCCTTTGTAAGTCACCACTGATTTGTTGTAGTTCCAGGGCACAGCGGTAGGATCCGTCATGGGCTTTTGTGATGTGCGGCTAATAACTACGGGCTCACTCAGCCTTGGTGGATTAATTGGCCCCCACATCACATAAGCGCCCTTGGGCACATACATTTGGGTTTTCTTATTCAGCTCGAATCTCCTGGGAGGACTCAAAGTCATCTACTTTTCTTTGCAGCCTCGAGGGACATAGAGAACAACGTCTTTTGGAGGCATTGCCCTAGTTTCAACTTCAACTTTCTTCTCTGACTTTGGAGGGGTGGTTTTGTTCTTTTTCTCCCCTTTATCTTGCTTCCGGGCAGCTTTTGGTTTCTTTATTACATCAGTGATGGAAATGATGTCCTTCAATGCTGGGTCAAATTCCTTGTCCTCACAAATCATTCCAATTACCGGCCTGTTGTTGTGGGCCGGCAGTGGGTTGTTAGTCACATTGGGAATATCTTTATCCCTTAACACTATCTTACTTTGTTCTATCAAGTTCTCCACGGCTCTCTTTAGAGTCCAGCAATCATCTGTGTCATGCCCTTCTGCCCTTGAGTGATTGGCGCATCGGGTACCGGCTGTGTAAGCGGGTGATGCTGGGTTTTTCCTGGTTTGAGGAACAGGCTATAGCAAACCCATTTGAACAAGCTTTGGTAACATTCTGGAGTAGATTTTGCCAATTGGTGTAAAATTTGGCCTCTTGGGTAGTTCACGAAGGTGGAAATTGTTTTGTGGAGGCTGGGGTTGTAGTGGTTTTGGTAATGAGGTTGGTTTCTAGAGAATGGAGCTTAGTTCCGGTTGGCTTGTTGTTATGGCCGGACATAAGGTTGAGCATTCATGACCGTGTATGGCTGAGGAGCATATGTTACGTCTTGGTGGGGGTAATAGTGTTGCGGGGTTTTTTCTGAGAAAAGGGATCTGGGAGTACGGTGTTTTCTTGCACCCAACGCAGCCATGGATGTTTCTTCCTTTTTCTTGCCCTTCGCTACTCCTCCAGACCCACCCTGAATGGCTTGGGAGGTAGCTCTGATGGCGGATTGGCTTAGAATTCAATCCGTTTTCAACCCATTTTCAACCATTTCGCCAATCTTGATGGCTTCAGCGAACGGTTTACCCATTGCGGACATCATATTTTGGAAGTAGTCAGCTTCCTGAGCTTGGAGGAAAAATGTGACCATTTCAATCTCATCCATCAGAGGCTTTACCCTGGAGGCCTGTTCACTCCATTTAACTGCGTACTCTCGGAAGCTTTCCGAGGATTTCTTCTTCCAGTTTGTCAATGAGTTCCTATTTGAAGCAATATCAATGTTGTACTGGAACTGCCTGACGAAATCTCTAACAAGGTCATCCCAGATGTGCCAGCGGGATATATCTTGGTCCATGTACCACTCAGATGTGATGCCAACCAGACTTTCTCCGGAATAGATCATGAGGAGTTCTTCCCTCCCACTGGCTCCTCGCAGCTGGTTGCAATATCTCTTGAGATGAGCAATAGGATCACCGTTTCCATCATACTTCTCAAATTTTGGGGTTTTGAATCCCAATGGCAGATGCACATGAGGGAACATACATAAGTCAGCATAGGATACACTTTTATGTCCACTCAAGCCTTGTATGCTTTTGATACTCTGTTCCATACTCCTCATCTTCTTCGCAATCTCTTCTTGCTCCGGGGTTTTTGTCGCTTTCTTATGCCTTGCGGTGAACTCATACCGGGGTGGTTGGGAGTAAGTATAGGTGGGAAACTGTGTAGGTTCCAGTGGTAAAGATGGTGTTTGGAAGGTGAAGGAGGATGGGTCAAAGCTGGGCATAGGCAGTGTAGGTTGTGCCGTAGCCGAACAAGGCGGAGCAGTGAAGATATTCGAAGCTGCACCTGAATCTAACACCTGAGGGCGAGCCTTAGAAGGTATTCCCACAAAGTTGGCGGAAATAGTAGGGTATCCTAGTGGGGTATTTGGATAGTTTATTGGGCTGTTGGAGGTCCCACTTGCCCTGGGAAAAAGCTCGGGAAATCCAGGGATTGCACTTGGTGGTTCTCTTCCGTTTGCCCAGGCGTCCTAGATTTCCATCATGCGGAGACGTAGTAACCTATTTTCCTCGACAGATGCCGATTCTGGAGTTGGGATGCCCGAGATCGGACTCTCATTCGTAATAGGAACCGTTGGCAGAGTCATTTCAATGCTTCCCTTCGACCTCGTGAAGTATGGATGTGACGCCAGACTACCACAAAACCAATCACCTTTCTTTAAAACCTAACTAACGGCAGACAACAAACTGGTCAGTTTGAAGCAAATAACACATAGGTAATCACATGTTGGGGTGTGATGCACCTATACAGTCAAATGTGTTTCTACGTGTATTGCAACGGTTGCATGTTTCATCCCAGCTTTACTTACTTTACCTGATTTTCTCTTCTTTCCACTTCCAATCTTCCACTTTTTTTTATCTCTTTTCTCACTCTCATTTCTCAGTTTTCCTTTGATTTTTCTTCGGCTCTCTTTTCTTCCTTTTTTGGGTTTTTCTTATGGGTCTTTCTTTTCACATCTCTTTCTTCTTGGAGTTATTTACAAAATCGTGATCGAATACGATGAAGATTGCCTACGTATCACGATGCCGCGTGAATCAAATCATTACGTAGTTCAAAAAAAAATGCGAAAAATAAAGAAATTTTTTATTTTATTTTATTTTTTGGGTATTTTCGATTTTTAATAATAAAAACTCCTAAACTTTTCTATTACAAAGGACTTCAAACTACTCATTTTCTTGGAACTGCAAACAAACTCAAAATAAACCAAAATACATACTCGATAAATGAAAAATCAGGAATACATTAAGGCTTCGACTCCTGGGCCCGTGGGACATCATTCGGTCCCGCCACGGGCCTATATGCGAGATCCCCTTGAAGTCGCTCCAAATCACTCATTATCTGGCGGACAAATGTCCTCACTGCAGCGAAGAAAGTGGTTAGAGTCATGTACTCACATGCTTGGCATTTCATAACAATGTAGTCGACAATGGCTCTAACCCTTTCTCGGATTCTACCCTTTTCCTGAAGCAGACGCCCGGCCTGCTGATTCCTGGCTTCTAACACTTGAGAGTCGTGAAGGTGATGATTTTGCAATTGTTGTATTCCTTCCTCCATCTGAGCCATCAAATCCTAACAGTGTTCCCTGCCAGCTTCGAAATCTTTAGCCTGCTTGGTTGCCTCATTCTCAAGAGTAGTTACCTTTCTTCTCAGACTGGTGATTGTCCCTTCATATTTTCTCTTCATTTGTTGTACAAACTGTGTCCAACCTTTTGCATTTACCACTAATTAAGCCCGGGCTTTTGCTAGATTGGCCTCAGACTTTTCTAGGTCATCTTGACACTCAAGGGCTTTCTTTTTCAGACTGCTTATAAGCCTTTCATCTGCTCGGCTTCTTTCCGGGTTTCTAGCAGCTATTTTCATCTTCCTGATTTGAGCTTTGAGATTCAGTTTCTTGAGTTAGTTTTTTCTTTTCTCCCTCATCTGTGGTGGCTTGCAAACTATTTTCAAACTGAAGGTCCATGACTTGCCTTTCTAACTGGCTTATTTTGGCCCTATAGCTTTCTTCTTTTGCCAACCAGCCCCACTGCTCTTGCGAGTCGCTAGTAAATTGTTGAACATGGGCTCTCTTAGCAGGTCTCTCAGGAATCTGAAATCTTTTATCGAACCAAACAATGTACTTAGGGTCCACTTCACCTCTAGCTAGATCTCGCACCATGGTCTTAGGTTCAAGAAATCTACATTCATTCCACACATGGCGAATTCTCCCTTCTGGAAATACGGCTTTTGGGCCCAATTCAATGACATGTTTACTCAAATCTTCGTCATGGGGGACGGTTTGAAATCTTCCTAATTGGCGCAAAACCCTGTGGGGAGCATACGGCTGGATGCTCCGGATGCCCATCAGGAAGAGATAACACACTTCAGCTGACATGTATACTGCTTCGGTGACAGGAAGCCATCCGAATGCCCACTCAATTTTATCGGCAGTCAATGAGCTCAAATGTGCAAGCCAAGCTTCAGTCCCCTCGGGGAATTCAATACCCACTACTCGGCTTTCAAATTCTTCAATGCAACTCAAACCGGTCATACCGTAATTCATATACCCAACTCGGTGGCAGAGATGTTCCTGCATCCATAATTGTAATAACAGATTGCAGCCTTGGAAGAACTTTCCCCCTCCCCGACAAATAGTCAAGGCTCGGTAGATTTCAGATAAGATCAGGGGAACTACAGTGTCATTGGCTTTCTTGATTGCAACATCGATCATTCCTACGAGACCTACCTCTATATTATCATCTTTTCGCGGGAAGACTACAACACCCAAGAATGCTACTATAAAAGCAAAACCCCGCCTTGCCTCACATTTGTCTTTATTCCCGGCATGGGTCACACCAGTGTTCGGCTTTTCAAAACCTCGAGGGTTACCATAGCGTTGATACAAGAACTGGAAAGTGCAATAACCTTTAGATAAACTTCCATCCTGGATATTCTGACTAATACTCAACAGATCCAGAAATTTGTGGGGAGATACCAGTCTTGGTGACACTGGATATCGACTTCTAAGGTTTCCATTAAGGCCCGCATAACCGCAACATCCTCTAGCGTGGGTGTGATCTCAAAGTTAGAGAAACGGAACACATTGCGAGTTGGGTCCCAAAAAGGTACTAAAGCTTCAATTATGTCCAACCTTGGCTTGATGTTCAACAGTCCGACGAGGCCTCCCAGAACTTTTACCACAGTTTCTCTACTGCCTTTTCCTAGATCATTCCACCACATGTGGAGCTGTAAGGGGATCTCTTTAAGGGCTGTGAAGGGTTCAATTTCATTTGTGCTCATCCTGCACATTTATTAAGGTGATTTAATAACTCATTTTGACCCAAAAGAGTAACACTATTTTTTCAAAATTTTACTTAAAAATAAAACCCGATTTTGCAGATAGGGCCTTTCAGCACTTCGGGGAAGAAGATTTTAAGGCTGTGCTTACTAATCGGTCGAAAAATAAAAAATAAAAAACAAAATGACCAGAGGTGGCCGTTCTTGCAAAAACAGCCTTCTGGCGCCCTTTTGGGGACATTCGGCTTATTTAAGATAAGAATGACATCACCCTACTTATTTGTGACTAAAACTAAAATTGTGTTGTTTTTGGGCTATTTTTGCAAAAGGGAATTCGACCCGATGAGGGTTGCCTACGTATCCCACATCCAGTGAGAATCAAACTGGTGTAGTTTGGGAAGATTGGACGAAAATAAACCAATTATTTTTCAAACAGAAATATTTTGTCAAAATTTTGACAGAGTTTCTGCATATTTTTGGACACTGATTTTCAAAACATGTGATTATCTCTCCGAGCCCTCACATTGATTTTCTTTTCCCAACTTTTCTCCTATTATTCATAAGTCGGTCAACATACAAATTCGAAGCAAATAAATGCACAAGTAGCAAGTAGGATGCATCAGGATGTTCTTTCCTTTTGGGCTACACCTGTCTTAGACAGACCCAACCCCTATGTTGAGTCTCGTAAGTCAAATGCATGTGATGCAAACAAACAATCCTACTAGGGATCCGGCATGAGCCTTTGTTATACTAGGTTTGAAACTTGGGTTTATTGTTCTAGACCTGGCTTACCCGAACGGACAACTCGAGCCGAGGGGGGGTAGCGTACCGGGAATACAGAAGCTTCATCGGCTTTGCAACTTGTCCGAGCCTCGTTCTAAAATTGGGTAAGACTCTAAACAGAAGTGAAGTCACACGAAGTGCACCCTTTTCCATGATTTAGAAGACTTAGAGAGAGGAAGGGTTTCGTAGCAGTTTATATACAGTTCACATAAAATCAAAGCGGTAAAAAGCGGCATTTAGCACATTAGGCTCAAACATGTAAAAAAATCAGATAACAGATAAAGCCAATCATAACAGCTATTCTAAGCTCGAATTCTTGAACCCTGAACCAGAGATTCTGGGTTCGATCCCCAGCCGAGTCGCCAGAGCTGTCACACCTTTTTTTACACAACCGAAGGTAGTACAAGGGAGTTTTTCCACTTTAAGTGACATTATTCGAAATAGGATTATTTATTTATTTTTGTTCAGAGTCGCCACATGGGATGGTTTGTTTTCTGGTGTCCCAAGTCACCGATTTATTTTTAAATCCCAAATCGAGGAAGATTTCGACTTTCCTTTTGAGGTCTGCGAAACAGAAATTCTGAGTAAGGAATTCTGTTAACCCGAGGGAAGGTATTAGGCATTCTCAGATTCCGTGATTCTAACATGGTCACTTAAACTATTATAATCAGCCTATTATCTGATTTTAATACATGTTTTAGCCTATGGTACATTTTAACTTTATTAAATCGCTTTTAATTATTTTTAGGAAGATTCAACGTTATTTAAAACATGTCTTGAACCACGCCACATGAAATGTACCCGCGATCCACGACACATTTTATTTAACATTGTTGAGAATTGGAGTTGGGTCACATCAAATGCATACCCGAGTTTAAGGAAATTAATTTAGTAGCACACCTAAATTAATTTGTGAAGGCCATGAAAAATTAAACTAATGGCACACCTCGATTTTTAAAGGGTTAAAATTAATTAAGTGAGGGCCATGGTTTTGGGATTTTATTTGGCATGGCACGCCCCATGTTATTACAAAAGGGTTTTATTATTCGAAGTTGTTATAATCGGGTCACATGAAATGCACCCCAAATTTGGGAATTAGGTATCGTAACTATGTCACGGGACCGTACCCACAATCACGATAAATTATTAATCGTGCCTGAGGCAAGCTACGATGTTTGTGATTTATCTCCTAAAATTAATTTGAAATCAAGCGAAACACTGATTTTTGGGTATGGAATTATTATGAAAGAAATATATATTTGCAACCACATAATAACAGGGCATATCACTTTAACTTCATTTCTAACCGGCAGAATTATTCAACCATGCTGATTACTCAATTTGTCATGAGACATCTACGATGAACCTTGATGTAATTGTACTACTAATATGACGGGAATATGTAAAACATGACAGTATAGGTGTGATTGTATATTGAGTTCAATTTACAACATAAAACCAAAGTTATCCACCTTGGTACACATTACTCGTCATTGTTTTTCCTTTTTTTTTTTGAATGAGCTTAAATAGCGTTACATTGGCCAGAAGTTCTTCACGGAAAACAAACCAAGTAATAATGAAAAGTCAATTAAAGCTTTAGTTTTCATGTAGAAAGTTTCAATTTACAGCACGAAGACCTCCTATTATAGTATTACAAGATTCAAACAATGAGAAAATTTCTCTTTACAAAGGCATCCTTTTACTTTCTGATTAAAATTAACACAGATGACATTTATTTCATACTAAAACTAAACCAAGATCGACAAACTCACAGTACACAGCAGATGAATCAGAGAGCAATCATAGCTTCATATTAATAGATTTTACAATAGTTTGAGGAGAAACCATACCTAACAGCTCGAAGCTTCAACTTAGAGGAAGAGAAAGCCAAATAGAGGCTAGAACAGCTAATTAGAGTCCCACTATGCAGAGAACAGCAAAATCAACAGCGCTTTTTAACCAAAAATGTTTAGAAAACCAGACACATGGAGATAAACTGCAGCAAACTCAATCAATTCGGAAAATATCCTTCCTGTCCTCTTTCTTTTTATTTATGTTTTCTTCTTCTTTTGCGGAATTTCAGTGCTCTAAATCAGAGAGTGCTCCCTTTCTTTTGCTCTTGCGTGTGGGTGAGGATCTATAAGAGAAGAGTGAGTGAGATGAATTTTGGGAGGTCAGTGAAGGTCGCTAGAGTCGCGTGAGAGGAGGTGAGCCAGTTCCCTGAATTTTGTGTGTGTTTTTCTATGGATATTGAATAAGAAGAAGAAAGAAGCTCTCTGTGTTGCACCATTTTTTTAGGGGTAGAGAAATCTGATCTTTTAGCCTGGATAAATGAAGAAGAAGATGAAGAAGATCTCTTCTCTTGTTTTTGCTTGGGAGCCCATTTCTAAAAAAAAATATGATGTGTGTCTTATGCCCAGAAAATGATGAAGATTGGGTGGAGGAAATATTTTTGGGGAGAGTGGGGAACATGAGTGGGGAAAGTGGGGAGAGTGTGGAACATGAGTGGAGAAAGTGGGGAAAGTGGGTAGTGAGTGGAGAAAAGTGGGAATAAATTTAAACATGATAAAAAATTAACTGCTCACAATAACAGAAGCAGCAGCTTTAGCTGCTCAAACAAATTTCCAACTCTTCCGCTAACCATCCGAATTCATCCCGAGGCCCCTGGTACCTCAACCAAAAATACCAACAAGTCACATACCACAATTCAAACTTATTTAAACCTTCATAACACTCCAAATAACATCAAAACACCAATTCATCCTCGGATTCAAGCCTAAAAACTTCTAATCTTCCGAATTCCGCAAACGATGCCAAAACCTATCAAACATCACCTGAATGACCTAAACTTTTTCACACACATCACAAATGATACTACAGACCTACTCCTATTTACAAAATTTCATTCTGATCCCGGTATCAAATTTCCATTGCCAACCGAGAAACGCCAAATTTTCAATTTTGTCAATTCAAGCCTAAATCTACCACGAACCTCCAAATTACATTCCGAACACGCTTCTAAGTCTACAATCACTTGACGGAGCTAACCGAACTATCTGAATTCACATCCGAGATCATCTACTCATAAGTTAATATCCGGTTGACTTTTCCAACTTAACTTCAAAATAGGAGTCTAAGTGTCTATCCTCTCCAAAACCACTCTGAACCCGAACCAACCAACCCGATACCATACAATACAACTTAAACACATAAAAAATAGAAATAGGGAAAACAGGGCTATAACTCATGAAATGATCGGTCGGGTTGTTACACTCCAATTCTTTGTTCTTTTGTCCTGCCAATTCTCATTCCTTTCTTTATCATAGTTCATCATTTTTTTCTAATGATTGTTAAAGACATATTCGGTGACAAATTAAATACATATCTTTGGTGACAAAATAAAGACAGATTTGGAGGCATTATCTATATGCCGTGTCATATGAGGTGTTCACGGATCATAAGAGTGCAGTATTTATTTAAGCAGAAGGAGCTAAATTTGAGGCATAAAAGGTGGTTGGAGCTATTAAAGGACTATGATATCACCATCTTATATCATACGGGAAAGGCCAATGTGGTGGCCGATGCTTTGAGTAGGAAGTCAGCCAGTATGGGCAGCCTTGCATATATTCCGGTTGGTGAGAAACCGCTTGCTTTGGATGTTCAGGCTTTGGCCAATCAGTTCGTGAGGTTGGATGCTTCTAAGCCTAGTTGTGTATTAGCTTGCACAGTCGCTCGTTCTTCTTAATTGGAGCATATTTGAGATCGGCAGTATGATGACCCTCATTTATGTATCCTTAGGGACACGGTGCAGCACAGTGATGCCAAGCAGGTAACATTAGGAGATGATGGAGTTTTGAGGCTGTAGGGTCGAGTTTGTGTGCCTAATGTGGATGAGCTCTGGGAGTTAATTTTAGGGAGGCCCATAGTTCCCGGTACTCTATTCATCCGGGCGCCGCTAAGATGTATCAGGATTTTTGGCAACATTATTAGTGGAGGAGGATGAAGAAGGATATTGTTGCATAGATGACTCGGTGTATGAATTGTCAGCAGGTAAAGTACGAGCATCAGTGACTTGGTGGTTTGTTCCAGAAGATTGAGATTCCTGAGTGGAAATGGGAGCATATCACTATAGACTTGGTTGTTGGACTCCCACGGACTCAGAGGAAGTTCGATGCAGTGTGGGTTATTGTTGATAGGCTAACTAAGTCAGCACATTTCATTCCTGTGGCAGTCTCCTATTCTTCCAAGAGATTAGCTGAGATCTATATCCGGGAGATTGTTCGTCTTCATGGTGTGCCTGTGTCTATCATTTCGGACCGAGGTACGCAGTTTACCTCACATTTCTGGAGAGCAGTTCAACATGAGTTGGGCACACGGGTTGAGTTGAGCACAGTAGTTCATCCTCAGACGGACTGGTAGTCCGAGCGTACTATCAGATTTTGGAGGATATGCTCCGAGCTTATGTCATTGACTTTGGAGGCTCGTGGGATCAGTTCTTGCCTTTAGCGGAGTTTGCCTACAACAACAACTACTAGTCAAGTATCTAGATGGCTCATTATGAGGATTTATATGGTAGGCAGTGTCAGATGCCGGTTGGATGGTTTGAGTTGTGAGAGGCTCAGTTGTTGGGTACGGATCTAGTACAGGATGCCTTGGACAAGGTCATGATTATTCAGGATAGGCTTCGTACAGCTCAGTCCAGGCAAAAGAGTTATGCCGACCGTAAGGTTAGTAATTTGGCATTCATGGTCGGTGAGTGGGTGTTGCTTCGGGTGTCGCCTATGAAGGGTGTTGCCTAGATACATTGGCCTGTTTGACATTCTTGATCGAGTGGGAGAGGTGGCTTATAGACATGCGTTGCCGCCGAGCTTATCAGCTGTGCATCCAGTGTTTCATGTGTCCATGCTTCGGAAGTATCACTGCGATCCATCCCAGGTATTAGATTTCAGCACTGTCCAATTGGACAAGGACTTGTCCTATGAGGAGGAGCCGATATCTATTCTATACCGGCATGTTCGACAGTTGAGATTGAAGAGTTTCCCTTATGTTCGTGTTCATTGCAGAGGTCAGCTTGTTGAGACAGCGACCTGGGAGTCTGAGTATGATATGCGGAGCCGTTATCCCCATCTTTTCTCTGACTCAAATACTTCCTTTTTATGTCCGTTCGAGGTGGAGAATGTGATGACCCAGTAGGTCATCACTTGTTTTAGAACTAAATTCTGAGATCTGAGGCCTTAAAACCTCCTTTTTGTCTTATCTTAGTGTGTGTGCGGAGTCCGGGCGTATATCCGGAAAGCCATTATGTGAAAATCTGTGAAAAACAGTGAATTTTGCTTTTAAATTGAATTTAGGTTAACTTCAGTCAATATTTTGGGTAAACGGACCTAGACCTGTGATTTGACGGTCGTAGAGGGTCCGTAGAAAAATATGGGACTTGGGCGTATGCCCAGAATCGAATTCCGAAATCCCAAGCCCGAGAAATGAATTTTTAAAGAAAATTGTTTTTTGGAATATACATGAGTTTTTGGAAATGAAATATGTTTGAATTTGATGGTATCGGGCCCGTATCTTGGTTTCGGAGCCCGGTACAGGTCTTATACGTGATTTAAGTGGAGCCTGTAAAAATTGGTTAGAAACGGAGGTCATATGACGTGAATCAGAACCTTAGTTGAAAAATTTGAAACTTTGAAAGTTCTTGAGATTTTCTTTGATTTTCATGCTAAATTCATAGTTATTGATGTTATTTTGATGATTTGATCGCACGAGCAAGTCCGTATGATGTTTTTGGACTTGCGTGTAAGTTTGGTTTGGAGCCCCGAGGGCTAGGGTGAGTTTTGGATAGGCTACAGAGTGAAATTTGGACTTAGGAAATTGCTGGTGTGTTACAGGCCTGCAGGCTTTGCAATTGCGAATCCTGGCTCGCAAATGCAAACTAGGTATCACAAATGCGAACTATAGGCTGGGCTACCTTGGTCGCAAATGCAATATATTTATCGCAAATTCGAAGAGAACAGGAATCTCCAGGGTTTGAAAATGTGAACCCCTGTTCGCAAATGCGAGGAAAGCAGGTTTCTTAACGGTTCGCAATTGCGAACCCTAGTCGTAATTGCGACATCAGCGACTGCAAATTCATAACTTAGCCAAAAATCTTTCATTTTTCAAACTCATTCAAAACATAAGCTCTCTTGGGCAATTTTCCAAAGAAAAGTTCTTCTCCAAATCGATTGTAAGTCATTTCTAACTCGTTTTCTTCAATCTTTAACATCTTTTCACACGATTTCAACTCAAAATCAAGGGTTTTCATGGGGGAAATTGGGTGTTTTGGGTAAAACCAAGTTTTTTCAAATTTTGAGGATTTGGACCTCGATTTGAGGTATGATTTCAAAAAAAATTATATATTTGGGTTCGTGGGTGAATAGGTAATCAGGTTTTGGTTCGAACCTCGGGTTGTGACCATGTGGGCTCGGGGTCGATTTTTGACTTTTTGGGGAAAACATTGAAAAACATATTTTCATGCATTAGAATGGATTCATTTAGTATTTATTAATATAGTTATCTAACTTGTGGCTAGATACGAGCGAATTGGTGATGGAAACCAGAGGTAAAGCGGTAGTTGAGACTTGAATTATGTCCGTGGCATCGAGGTAAGTGTTTGGTCTAACCTTAGCTTGAGGGATTCAGAGTTGTGTCTTATTTGCTATGTGTTAATTGTGGAGTACGACGTATGGGTATGGTGATAAGTATCCATACGTTGGTGTCAAGCATGCCCGTAGGTCTAGTTTTGTAATTGTTCTGACCCCGTTGAGATTTATTCATGCTTAATATGTTGATTATCATTGTTGGTTCTCTTGCCGGGATGTTATTGATTATGATATTGTCTCCGTTGTTGGGATGTTATTGATTATGATATTGTCTTCCTTGCCGGAATATTATTGTTACGATATTATTCCCCTCGCCGGGATGTTGTTGTTATACTCTAGTTCCCTTGTCGGAATTTTTTTGTGATTGATGTTGATCTGTAAATGGGATCAGGTGGCACGCCGCCATGGAAATATATAAAATGGGAGCGGCTTGCACGCCTGCAACAAGATATATGAAATGAGAGCGGATTGCACGCCTGCAACGAGATATATGAAATGGGAGCGGGTTGCACGCGTGCAACGAGATATATGAAATGGGAGAGGGTTGCACGCCTAAAACAAAATATATCAAATGTGAGCGGGTNTTGCATTTTTCGGCCAAAAAACTAGAATTTCGCCCGATTCCCATATTTTCGTGTGCTATACCCTCGCCTTCCAAGTGGTCCGGGGAGCCACGTNCAAATGTGAGCGGGTTGTATGACTGCAACAATATATATGAAATAGGAGCGAGTTGCACGCCTGCAATGAGATATATGAAATGGGAGCGGGTTGCACGCCTGCAACGGGATATATGACATGGGAGCGGGCTGCACGTCTGCAGTGAGGAAGAAATGAAAGTGAATTATGATTTTGTTTTCCTTATCCTTGTTAGCAATTAGATTTTGATTTCTTTACACTCCTCTTTGATATTCTGTTGTTATCTGTTACTCCCCGCAGCATGTTTTCCCCCTCCCATCTTTAGTTGTAATTATTTGCTTCTATCTTTCTGTTGTATGTGATTTAACTACACAAATTTATCTGGTAGTCTTGTCCTAGCCTCGTCACTACTTCGCCGAGGTTAGGCTAGGCACTTACCAGTACATGGGGTCGGTTGTGCTGATACTACACGATGCACTGTGTGCAGATCCCGGTACTGGAGCATACAGACCGTAGCTTTGGGTTGCTGCTTTCAGTCCATTCGGAGATTCGAGGTAGTCCTGCAGTCATCCGCAGGCCTTGGCGTCTCCCTCTATCCTTTCATTCTGTTTCTTTCGTGTAATTTAGAGACAGTGTTGTAATAAATCTTTCGGACCTTTATTTGTAGTATTCCTGGACAGTCTATGGAATTGTGACACCAGTTCTAGGTAATTTATTTATAGATTGGTATTGGCATCTTAATTAAAATATTACATTTCAGTCTTTCGCTTATTAAATTCCGTTGTTTATATAATGTTGGTTCTTAATTGTTAAGGGATTAAAAATGGGAAAAGAGTAAATAATTCAAAGGGTTGGCTTGCCTAGCTTTCACTAGTAGGCGCCATCAGGACTCCCGCGGGTGAAAAATCTGGGCCGTGACAAATTAGTAGAAAGGGGTATTCTTAAATTATTTTTATGTGTAATTCTTAATAAATTTAATTTTAAACAATTAAGAGTATTTTAGTAAACTTATCAGTTACAGTACGATACGATAAAGTCAAAACAAATAGCAAAATGTTATATAACAACAACAAACAATACATTATATCTGAACGTTATATTCATAAAATGATACAATACTATACAATATATTATAAAACTATGGGTAAAAACCATCCAAACAAGCTGTAAGACCTAATAAACCACATAGAGTCAGGGTAAAATGTAAAGGAGAGTTGTGTAATTGGGAACTGTATGCTAGTGTTGATAATGATTCAGGAGATCTGTATGCTAGTGTTGATAATGATTCAGGAGATTTCACTTTGAAAAAAATATGATACAACCCATAAATGTAATACAAAAAACAAGAACAAGTTATGCTTAGCCAAATATATTGCTAAGAAGTTCAAGGATGGAATAATCTCTCAACCTGATATTAGAGTGTATAAGTTGCAAGAAACAATTAGAAAACATTTGGGGTTGCATTATTTGTATTACAAAATAAAGTGCTAATAGATTATATTTATATTATTTAGATAGTAAATTTTAATGTGATTCAAATGTTTGACCATGTTGACCTATGAACCGACCGAAGTTGGTCGGTTATTTTCCAGAGATTACAGCTACCGACCAAAGTTGATTGGTAAAATCTTCCCCGAATTTCTAGTAGTTCTCAAACCCCTTATGGTTACATTGTGGATGTTGTTGAATGAGAAGGAAAGATTTTCAATTTATAGAAATCCAAACATTTTCCTCCAAGAAAAGGGACTAACCAAATAAGGAAGATTTATAATTTTCTTCTAAAATAAGAAAAACTCAATTATAATAAATATGTTGTCCTTTACTTCAAGAGATATGAAATCAAATATGGTAAAAATATCACGAAAAACACCTAACAAATTCACCATTTGCTGAGTGATGTGAAGTTGACCACTAATTAAAGGGACGTAAAACAGATCACGAGATTCTTGATTAATCGTTACTTCTTGAACTTGAGCCTGCAATAATATGCATTTTAAAAAGAGAAATTACCTGGACTTTTCTTTTTGGCAAATGGAAGCAAGACGGCAATATGATTGACCAGGTCGAACTATAAGTAGTAGAACCCTCTCTCGTTATTTGGAATAAGAGAAAAAGTATAACAAGCCCAAAGCAAACAAACAATTCTTTCCAAATTTAGTGAAACTAGACTTTGCTACAACAATGAGCATGAGCTGGTTAATAGCAACTTTAGCCATTGCTGCTTTCTTTTCATCCCAATTAGCTTACGCCTATGATCTCAACCCTCTACAAGACATATGTGTTGGAGATACAGACTCTAACGGTTCTGGTAAATCATATCCTTCTATAGTACTTATGAAACTTATTAACTAATTTCTTCTTTTTCTTTTTTTAAGCAATATGTTATATAATCACTGTTGCTAAAAGCCATATATTGCTTCATTGCTTCACTTGTGCAGTATTCATGAATGGACAGTTTTGCAAAGACCCAAAGCTTGCAAAATCAGACGATTTCTTTGCTTCAGGTCTTAATATAAAAGGAAATATAGCGCTCCCTAAGTGGGGCTATTCTGTGACTATTTTGGATGCAATCACAATGCCTGGACTCAACACTCTTGGTATTTCTATATCTCGTGCTGACTTAGAACCGAAGGGTCTAGTCCCATTTCACACACACCCTCGAGCTACCGAGCTTATAACTATATTGGAAGGTACTATTTATGCTGGATTTCTTCTCCCTGATTTTCCCAACATTTTTAAGAGTCGTCTCTTCTCGAAAATTTTGAATCCTGGAGAAGTGTTTGTTATCCCAGAAGGTCTTATTCACTTCCTATATAATGTGGGACATAACAATGCTACTGTACTCGCTTCTTTCAACAGTCAACGTCCGGGATTCGTCATGATTCCGAGTGAAATCTTTGCTTCAGATCCACCTATTCTCGATGATGTTCTTGCCAAAGGTTTCCAGCTTGATAAGAAAGTGATCAAACAACTTCGGAAGAAATTCTCCTAAGATTTTTCATTACAGACAGGAGCGTATCTAGAATACAAGATTTGGGTTCAGCTGAACCCGTACTTTCTGCTCAAACCCTGAATATCAGCCGATAAACTCATTAAATTTATATAAATAATAGATTTTGAATCCATTAAATTCGATAAACTACGGTAGAACTTCAAATTTGAATCTCATGTAGTTCAAATCCTGGATTTGCCTCTGATTATAGATATTATTGTGTGCTGAAAGTTGTGTATAGCTAGCTGCTCCCAAGCAATGTGGGAACGTATTCGTATACTTTTCTTTAACGTTTCCATTTCCATTAACAAATTCCTACAGCAGATAAGCAAACTGGGAGGATTCACTATGAATACAACATTAATAAACTAGTGATTAGTAAATAGCAAAGAGCTTGACAATTTTCACTGATTCTCTATCAATCGTGTTGTTATTTGTCAAAAAATGATTAAAGGAACTAGTTGTGAACTTAGACTATAAATGTTATATTGATGCTCGCAAGGTGATCACGCCCAACTATGCCTTATAAAAAGGTTTAAGCGGTCGTTGCAAATATAATCTGATTTACAAGTCCGGAGTCGAATCCCACAGAGAACTAAGGCTTAGCTACAGTTGTTCAATATCGCTAAGAAACACAAGTCCAAACAATTTCCCAATTATAAAGATTATAATATATATTTTTTAATTAACTAACAAATACTAGAAAGCAGTAAAACTATTAATTAATACGGATAAGGATTGGAGACAAGATTACGAAGGTCTAGAGTTATGATTTCCCTATTGTCGGAATCCTTTCTGCTACATTTTCTATAAATTTGCCTAAGTTTTCTCTATCGATCATGAGCACTCTGACTCTCGTAACTCTCTCCCGAGTAATTATCACAATTTACTAGACATATTATCCCGAATTATGCTAGCTGACATTATGTACGGCTCACTCAGATCGCACCAAGATTTCGTTATCCCTAATCTCATCTTTAAACCCTCCGTATAGATCCCTCATATACGTTAGGAGCGATGTTGTTCAACAACTACCTAAATATGCACTCTCTCCCGAGTAATACACACAAAATAGGCACAGTCGATTGAGAGCTCTTCAACCAACTACAATAATAATGCAGTTGAACAAATAGAAAAAAAGCTACAACAAATCTATATTAACGTAACAGGAAAATCATCCTCCAATAGGTTCCATCAAAACCCTAGATAATAAATTAGCTATTCATAATAGTATGCAGAACTACAAATACTAGAATCCATAACCATTAATGGAAATAGGAAGAAGGAAGTGAAAAACTCGTAGAAGAATCTTTCGCCTTGCTCCTAATGTGTTCTTGCCTCCTCAGGTCGAATCTCTCGTCTCCTTAGCCTCCTTAGGTCTAAATTATGTCAAAAGTCCTCAAAATACCATTTTTCATGTATATATACCAAGTAGGGTCGGGGACAAATAATTATACCTTCGCCTACAAAAAAAGGACACTTTTCCCAGACAGGACATGCGCGGCCACGCATCTGGAAGTGTGCCCGCGCACATTTCACACTTTCTGCCCCATTTGCGCGGTCAGTGCGTGAATGCGCATTTGCCGTGCAATTTTCATCCTATTTTGTTAGTAATTTGACAAAACATAAAACATGTAAGTTGTATCTCTTTGAATTAGCTTTCCAACCATATATTGTGGAGAACAAATGGAGTTTTGAGCAAAACGTTATGTGTATTTTACTAGCACTGCACATTATGCTTGCTCGATTCTTTGTTCGTTCTAAACTATCATCCATTGATCCCCGAACTCGATCACGACTTAATTCCTTATGCTTTTACTCATACTTCAAAGCTCCAAATCACTTGAATTCATTCCATAACATCTACATAGCTCGAAATCACTCCTACAAAGCACAAAATACATAATTAGTGCAAAACACTAGCGATTAAAGCTCAAACTCAACTAAAGTGTAGTAAATTAGAGTGTAATAAGCGACTAAAATACGTAATTATAGCCTATAATCAACACCCCAAACTTAAAACATTACTCGTCCTCGGGCAATCAAACTACACTTTATATAGACACGACCTTTTTAAATAAATCTCCTAACTCATCACACCAAGAATATTTAAAATAGACTAAGCACAAAAGCGTAACATCTTCACCTCAAGATTTAACTCACAAGTAACACACATTATTCACAACTCACCCACTTACTCTAACATAGAGGTCAACGACATTATCTTTCCTTCATGAATAAAGGTCCCTCACACACCGAAAGAGAGTAGTTCCACACACAATAAAGTTTAAGAATGATTAGGAACATTAAATAGAAAGAATTCACTCACACTCAGAAACAACATTCATATACTACAAAAGATGCACCATAGGCTTGCCCGTAGTGTACTACTCTACTAATCGAGCTCATTCAGTCTAGGATCAAGTAGGACTTTAATTGGTTGTAATGTAGGCTGTAGGTCGGGTATGATACATTTAGATATAAGAGTGACTACACCTCCCTAAGCACTTTACGACATATACTTTAACATTCAAACCCCACACTTATATCAAACCATAACTCCACCTTCACCTCAATGTATATTAACTCCATATTTCTTTAAGCACAATTACATCAAGAGTCACCACTTATCAAGGAATATATTTTTTTTCACAGTAATACAACTATTTTTTTCTTTCTTTTTCAATTCAAGTGACTTCTATTTTTTTGTTCAAAAAAGTGCACATTTCTCTTTATTTCATTAATTCCACTCAAAAGCCAAACCAACTAACCCACACTTACTTTTACAACGTTCATAACAATTCAAGTGCTCATGAGACATGAACATGTTCAAATAGATGGTTAATTCAAACAAAGGGGTAAGGCTTATAATGTGGTTGCCAAAGAAACATGATTACATGCTCAAAGGTGTTAACTACGTTACATAGCAATTAGGTGAGTAAAATATACATATCTAGCTTAATAAAGAAATGCCTATATCACTTCCAAGACTGAACAAAATTACTATTTTACTTTGCAAACACACGGGGCAAGTTCTAGACATCAAATGCAATGCACAGAATAACACCCAAACCTTACACACACATGGCATATAACTCACTCAAGATTGAATTCATCAAGACACTCTAGTCAAAGCAGTTACGCAAATTCAAGATCATACAATTTAAGGTACTTCTTCAAGAGTCAAAAACTGAGCCTAAGCGTCACAACCAAAGTACTCACTATTCTCAAGGCATTACAAAGTCAAGAGATATTGCTTCAATTCAAAATACAATATTATGGCTCTTATTCCAAAAAAACAGCTACATCGATTCAAACAAACCCTTGAAAAAGAACCGCAGCACAAAGAAAAACCAAGGGGGAATTACTACACTACCTACAAAGAATTTTTTTACACTTAAATCCCTCAAGGTAAAAAATAATTAATTAAACTAACCCAACTAAAATAGCATAGAAAGTAACCCAGACAATATCCTCACCCCACACTTATAATTGTGCATTGTCCCCAATGCACACCATAACTAATAAGAGGGTAAAATAAACTCCCTGATAGGCCAAAGATCGGAGCACTAGCAGCTCATGCGGTACTAAGACTTCTCCTAAGCTTGGTCCTTCGTGCGGGTACCTCACACTTAGTTCTAACCATTTGCTTTGTTGTTGCATCTTTCCAATAAATTTGCTTTCCATGCTCTTAGAAAATAAAAAATCCACACTACAAAAATAATACAATTAAAAAAAATAGTAAAGCTGGGTTGCCTCCCAACAAGCGCTTGATTTAGCGTCACGACACGACGCGAATCACTTTTTGCCTCCACTTTGAACTTATGAATTGGACCTTAAGTTTTGATTATGCTCTATGATCATGCTCCTGGGGTGGTGGAACGAATCTGACTGGCCCAATAAAATAGTGTAGTATTCTACACTTCTTGCCCTTTAGATGAGATGTGTAATCCCGACTTTCTAGAAAGAAGAATCCAGAATGTAGGCATCGTGTTCCTTAATCCTTGACTCCTCAAGTAGCTCGAATGGCTCTATTTCTGTATCATCATCCAAACACAATGTGGAAAAATGTAAAGCTGGGTGGATCAATGCGGTCGAAGGAGTGTGGACCAATGCGCTCAACTACATGAATATAGGGACTGTCTACATCCTCAACACTAATAACAACTAAATATGTATCATCAATATCCTTGGTTGACTCTAGTATCTCTTCTACAACATTGGCATCCTTAAAATCTAGTTCGGTTGATTGTTGGTGTTCTACTCTGGCCTTCTCCACTAGCACCTCCTTGTATTTTTTAAAGCCTCCAATATAATGGCAATTTCTGCAGCCAATTCATGCTCTTCTTGGCTGCTATCCACACTGTAAGCTTGTTGTCTTTACAAGGTTCAATTAGTTTATTCGCTTGAGCCTCCAAGTGCTGAATATTTGCCTCTTGACTTTGTATTTGCCGTGGTTTCTCATCATATTGTTCCATATGGCACTTTAACATATCTTTAATCTCCTTTAGGTCAGCTTCCCTAGGTTTTATGTTCCTGTTATCCTCACAAGAAAAAGTAAAACCATCATAATAAGGGGTTGGGGAGGATAAGACATATAATCATAACCATGAAAGTGACCATCTTGGCCACCACACATATCACACACATTCCACACATAATATTTAATTGGTTCACATAACTCGCTCTCGAAAATATTTTGATAATTTTGCAATGGGTGGTTTCCTCCACAATATGCATAAGGAGATCAAAAGTAGAATTACCAACATCAAAACACTCATAATTCCAAGATGTCATGTTCTCAAATAAAAATAATTTTAAAAAAATAATCAAATACAAGAAAACAAAAATAAAAGCTCATACTTGAAACCTAGAAATATGTACACCTACAGCTACATCGTTACTTCCCCGGCAACGGCGCCAAAATTTCATCACGCCCAACTATGCCTTATAAAAAGGACTAAGTGGTCGTTGCAAATATAATCCAGTTTACAAGTCTGGAGTCGACTCCCACAAAGAACTAAGGCTTAGCTACAGTTGTTCAATATCGCTAAGAAACACAAGTCCAAACAATTTCCTAATTATAAAGATTATAATATTTATTTTTATCTAATTAACTAAAAAATACTAGAAAGCAGTAAATCTATCAATTAATACGGATAAGGATTGGAGACAAGATTACGAATGTCT